GGTCACGCTGGCGGACGGCGGGGTGGGGAGGTCACGACAGCGGACGGCGGGGTGGGGAGGTCACGACAGCGGACGGCGGGGTGGGGAGGTCACGCCAGCGGACCGCGGGATGGGGAGGTCACGACAGCGGACGGCGGGGTGGGGAGGTCACGCCGGCGGACGGCGGGGTGGGGAGGTCACGACAGCGGACGACGGGGTGGGGAGGTCACGACAGCGGACGGCGGGGTGGGGAGGTCACGCCGGCGGACGGCGGGGTGGGGAGGTCACGACAGCGGACCGCGGGATGGGGAGGTCACGCCGGCGGACGGCGAGGTGGGGAGGTCACGACAGCGGACGGCGGGGTGGGGAGGTCACGACAGCGGACGGCGGGGTGGGGAGGTCACGACAGCGGACGGCGGGGTGGGGAGGTCACGACAGCGGGCGGAGGAGCTCGGATGGGAGGGCGCGGGCTGGAGAGAGTAAAATTCGGTGCCAAGGCACCGCAAGCCAGTGGTAGATCAAAAGCTGTGGCAATGAAGCGGTAACTGGGCGTGCATGGCAGGAACAGCAAGTGCTAGTTCCCTTGACGCCCCTGGACCCATCATTTTATGTCGTCTGGGAAACTATGCGCCACCTGGTCCATTTCATGACAAATCGACAGGTGAAATGGCCGAAATAACACCCCATGTCATTATTTCACTGAAAGTATCAGCAAATGATTGTCTTATACCCTGACTCAGCTGTGCCAAGATTAGAGCAACGGCTGAGGAGTTATAGCCCTCGGCATGCAAGCAGGTCAACTAACATGGGCCAATTTTAATTGCTCATAACCCAGGTATGCTTATCTGAATTGTACAAACTATATACCACTGAGCTTGCAGTGATTTAATGCATGTTTTCACAATTTAGAAATTTGTGGCTACTCAAATTTCAAAACCGTGGCCCAGTGACGTAAAATCACGTGACCTTTTTAGCATATTGGTAATTCATAATGCTATTTTTCGAAACACAGAGATTTACAGCAACGATTGTTCTACCAAGACCGAGTTTAAACAAGATGCGTTTTTTAAAGCTACAGTTTTCGTTACATTCTTTGCGCATGCGCCCATTTTATTCTGATCTGACAGACGATACAAATGACAAGCTCGAATGCCATAAAATGTAAAAAATATAGGTTTGTATCGTTTGTCTTATAGGTGATAAGACACAAAGACATCGACACATACCCATATTATCTCTCTCTCTCTCTCTCTCTCTCTCTCCTCTCTCCTCTCTCTCTTCTCTCTCTCTCTCTCTTCTCTTCTCTCTACTCTCTCTCTCTCTCTCTCTCTCTCTCTCTCTCTACTCTCTCTCTCCTCTCTCCTCTCTCTTCTCTCTCTCTCTCTCTCTCTCTCTCTCTCTCTCTCCTCTCCTCTCTCTCTCTCTCTCTCTCTCTCTCTCTCTCTCTCTCTCTCTCTCCTCTTCTCTCTCTCTCTCCTCTCTCTCTCTTCTCTCTCTTCTCTCTCTCTCGCTCTTCTCTCTCTCTCTCTCTCTCTATCTCTCTCTCTCTCTCTCTCTCTCTCTCTCTCTCTCTCTCTCTCTCCTCTCTCTCTCTCTCTCTCTCTCTCTCTCTCTCTCTCTCTCTCTCTCTCTCTCTCTCTCTCTCTCTCTCTCTTCTCTCTCTCTCTCTCTCTCTCTCTCTCTCTCTCTCTCTCTCTCTCTCCTCTCTCTCTCTCTCTCTCTCTCTCTCTCTCTCTCTCTCTCTCTCTCGCTTCTCTCCTCTTCTCTCGCTCTCTCTCTCTCTCTCTCTCTCTCTTCTCTCTCTCTCCTCTCTCTCTTTCTCTCCTCTCCTCTCTCTGATATGCATTATGCTATTATATATATAATATATATATATATATATATATATATATATATATATATATATATATATCTCTCTCTCTCTCTCTCTCTCTCTCTCTCTCTCTATCTCTCTCTCTCTCTATCTCTCTCTCTCTCTCTCTCTTCTCTCTCTCTCTCTCTCTCTATATATATATATATATATATATATATATATATTATATAGATGTGGTGTGTGTTGTGTGTGTGTATGTGTGTGTGTTTTTTGTGTTATGCGTGTGTGTGCAGGCATTGGAATATGGTGTGTAATATATTAAGCAGTCGATGGTTGTAAATGATGACTGAAAAAGGTATAAAAGAAAAATATGAAATCACTTTCACTACAAAATGTTTTACGTAGCCCAATCCATCATTCAGCATAGCCGACCGCATCAGTTGGGCTGTCAGCTGCGCATGCAGCGAATCACATATACACGTGAGCGGTTGCAATAGCTTGTGTATAATGACCGACTTTAAAGCATCATACGGCGCAGCAGCTCGACGCACCAATGAAATGATCCGCTCATCTGCAAGCCAACTCCTGCGATTTGTTGTGTGTACCGGACTATTTCCCCCACACACTTAGCCTCGCGAGGGTGGTAACAGTCACATATTACCGCCCGGCTGTTACGGTGCGTCCCGCGTCAGTGGACAGATGGTGAGCCCTCAGAGTGGTCGGTGTCGCTGGTGAGAACCTGTGAAAGCCCTGAGTGCTCTTCACCGTGATAGCTTTTGAAAAGCTCTCCGTGGGCTGGTTCACGACGCCGACCACCTCCCACCCAGACGCATAGATAAGCATGGTTTTGCTGACCAGTTTCTCCGACAGCACTTTGAACATGTTCTCGGCCGTCCGCATTTGCCCATCTTTGGCGTGTCTGAGGCTGTATTGTGCTATGGCACGCTTAGCCGTGCCCTCGATGTCGTCACAGACCCCCTTACCATGTGATGTGGCAAAAAAATGCCCATTACAAGACACCCCAGCTAGCCTCATGGTGCCACACATTGATGAGGCTGAGCTTACTTTTTCACTGTGCGGCGCTGCCGTCTGTGAAATAAAGTTTTTTACATTTGGCACTTGGTACGAAGGTATCGGACAAGTCCTTGCAGAAGCGCATGAACCCTGGCGATGTCATTATTTGTACCATTAGAGATGAGACAGAAGCTCTGATCGCACAGCACACGTTCCTCCCGCCAACATGCTACGAACGGGTGGGCAGTGCACTGTGAGAAGTGTCCGTGGACGCTCTGGGCCGCGTCTTGCACCAAGAATGATTAATTTTCAAAGAGTCGCCTTGTGCAACCACTTCGTCCTCGTTGGCAGAAGCCGTTGTGGTGGCAAAGTACCGACCCTGTCCATCAGCTAGAAAGTGGTGTCTGGTCAATTTTGTGGTTTGGTGGCTTGGAGTTATCATGCCGAGATATCAGCTACAATATATCATATTAGAGATAAGAATTCCGAGAACGCATATGAGCAGGATTGAATTTTGATGACATGTGTGT